TTTGTTGTTGTTTTTTTTCCTTCCCTCCTGGAAGTTTCCTTCCTCCTTCCCTTTCTCCACCCCTTCCCCAGTCACTGCATTTCCTTCCCCTTGTGTCTCCCCGATTAGGACTCCTGCTCCATCCCCTCTCCTGACGAGAGGATAGTGCTGCTTCCTGCTAGGCCAGGAAAGGTCACTGACAATAATACACTTTTCTCTCCAGAGCTGTGAATGACTTAGCAGTCTAGTCTTCCTGGCACACTCATCGGGTAGGCAAGTCGTAAGAGAGAGATGGAGGACCAAGTGATTTCAGGGCAGTGTTAGAGCTGAAGAGTAGGGAAGAGCACTCTCCCTGATTCCTGCTCCATCCTCTGATGGTAAGATGTTGTCCCTTGGCTTGATCTGGGGTGGTCATAGTGTTCCCTGACCCCAATGAAAGCCCAAGGTAGAGATCATTTCCCATATCCTGTTACCCTCATGTGGCAGGACAGCATGAGCTGCTCCGCTTACTGCAGTGGAAGTGGCAGATCTACTCTTTAAACCATCCAGATAACTGATTTAAAGAAATGGTTCTTCTAGTAAGTGACTGTGGTAAATCATCACTGCTGCCTCATGCCATAAAAGCACACACATATTCAGAATAAAGAGGAGACAGGGAATTTCTGGAAGAGAGACCTCAGACTTCAAGAGTTGGCTTTCATTTAAATAAATTCAAGCTTTATGTTTTAAAAAGAGTCAGCTGGGGAACTTTCGCTTAGCATACGAAAAATCCAGGGTAATTCCTGCAACATTTTGCAGAAGAAGTCTCAGGGCAGTGTCTCTGAAAAGGACGGTAGAAGGTCTTTAATGTATAAAGCCCTGGTAAGTCTCCAGGGTATGAAGTAAGAAGGTCTAGCGAATAGATACAAGTACGTATACCAAACCTGTGCCTTTGCCCTTCTAACAGACCTAACGTGGAGGCAAGTGGGTGGTCTGTTGGGCTGGTCCCATCCTGTGCCTGGGCTCTCTGCTAGAATCAAATTAGCTCTTCCTGAGTCCTAACTGCCAGAAGGTTTTTTGAGGGCACGTCACCACTGGGAAGAACTGCCATAAGTCACATCTCCCCACTGATTGCAGAGAGACCACTGTATTGCCAGTCAACAGTAATGCTTTATCCCAGATATTAACAAAATGCTGCATGGTGAAGTGGATACTGAACTGGGCCTAGTAGCAACACCCCGTATCGTTGTACAAGTTGATGTTCTGTGTAGATGCTTCTGAAGTTCATATATGTGTTAAAAAGTTTCCTAAACACGTCAGCTGCATAACACTGTACTTGCCAGATGTCAACTGATCTCCTGCCAGTTAACCATCTCTACTCTGACAGCTTCTCTAATAGTCACGCAATGGCTCACAGAGGGTTCAGACAATCCAGACAAAACTTTGGTGGAAATATATTTTAACAGGGAAAATAAATTATGTGATACATACACATTTTTTTAATCGAGTTGATCCCAGTGCGCTGAGTCCCTGTAGAACAGTAGTGTCACATCCATCTGTGTTCCAGTGTGAGGGTACACTGGTGTCCTCTTTCACAGGACAGGTACTGGTAAGCAGAAAAAGCCAGAGACTGAGAAATAGTTGTGACCCAAAAGCCTCCAAAAACAATCCAGACAAGCTTTTAGCGGTCCTTGCAAGCATCAGTTTATGAGATTTTAGCACTTAAAATCTTCAGATGTGAATCTGTTTTGCCAATAAACCTGGCTTAGCACCGCCTGGAGTTTCCTGAGCCGGCTGGCACCTGCTGGCCCATAGATCTGCCTTCTCTTGTCTGATACTTCTGCTAATGAGGGTTCAGAAGTTAATTTCAGCTCCAATTCATGGGCTCTTCAATAGCAATAAATAATAATAATAAATAAATAATATAGTTGTGTGTTTACAGTGCAGCCACACATAAATGATGCCAGTTTAGATAGTTTGGGGGTTTGTGCGTGTTCTATTTTGTTTTTATCAGTATGCTTATAACTGATGAATGTGCTGGTTTATTATCTAAACTAGGTCAGCGCGTTACTTTAGCTACAGAGTTTAATATGCAGCATCACTGTAAATAGTCTAGGTATTTGGCAATATAAAGTTTCATTACAGATTTGCTTTTCTCTCAAGATAAAGAGTTTCCAGTAAAATAGAGGCGATTCATGAAATTTTCTTTACTTCTTAATAATTAAGTCTGCATAGCTTACAACACCGATAGGTTACTTATAATCTATTTGTCGTATAGTGTTTTCTGCAAAACTTTCAGCAAGCGTTATAAAATGACAGCAATGCAGTAATAAATGCTGGAATAAAATGGCATTTGGACCCAAAAGTCAATGGGAACGTGATTTCCCATTATCAGAGCATACATTCAAAGCAGAAAGCTATCCTTTAATCTCTCAGCAGAGCTTATTTTAGCCTAGAGCTGTGCTTGGCGGGGTTGTTGTCTGAATGTGTTTTGTCGTTAGGTAGGAAAGGGGCATGCTGGATGAATGTAAAAGTCAGCAAGTGACTCAGCCTGGCTCCAGCGATTTGCATGCAGCTTTTTTGGTTTGAAGCACATACATGAAAACAGAGCAGAGAATCCCCCCCACTGCAGAAGTACGATTTATGGCAAAGGCTTTTGGAAAGAGTAAAGCTCTAAATACAACTGTTTTTCCTTGAGGACTTTATACTTTTTGTCCTAGTTTGACCTTTACGAGGATTGGTGACAGCTGCTCTTGACAGTGTCCTGACAAATGGGAGTTGTTTTGACTGGTCTCACTGCTGCTAACACAGATGCCACTCAAGACATTCCATATAGAACAATTTACATAAGAAGCAGCACAGCTTTGTCTTGTGTTTACCATGTGGACTAGGAGTTCTGGGTTTGCTGCACTGTATCATGCACTCATTATTTTACACTTGTGTTTCATAACAGAAATTTAGGCTAGAGATGCTGCTCTTTCAAAATGAGCATGCCTAACACTGACTCCCCTGGCCCGCGCAGTATGATGTTTCTGGGGCACTTCTAACAGCCTTTGCGGCTGCTTCCTGGGATGCAGGAGGTAATTGTTGCTCATGTTTGGTTATCTTGTCTTACACAGCAGTCCCCTTAATGTGGTCCTCACAGCAAAATGGGGCATAAGGAGCCATCCTTTGGGTAACTTGCACATCAAAAATGTTTGCATCAGGAACTGTCTCCTCATGTATTTCCGTTCAGCATATAGCAAAAGGAGACGTTGATAGTTGGTTTCTTGATGCTGGCATTAGAAAAGTAGATGTCTTCTAAGAAATTCAAAGTAGTCTCATTTAATTGTTTTCTCTAAGAATCATGGTAGGATTGTTACTAATTTGATCTGTAAATAGTCCAGTCAAAGACTCTTAACATGTTTAAAAATATAAATGTGTTGTCCTGGTCTACCCTTTAGGAATTAGAACTGGTGGAGGATGTCTGGAGAGGGGAAGCACAGGACCTTCTTACCCAAATTGCACAGCTGCAGGAGGAGAATAAACAACTGATGACAAACTTGTCTCACAAAGACATTAATTTCACAGAAGAGGAATTTCAGAAGCATGAAGGCAAGTTTGATACTTCAAATTCAGTACTTGCTTTTGTTATAAAAAGCAATACTTTATCAAAATACTTTGACTGGATATTCTGGCTTTTTTTTCTTTAGATTAATGCAGGTCTGGGGTTTGGGTTTTTTTGCCTGACTAGAAAAACCTCTGCATACATGGTGATACTGAAGACATGATAAGAGGTGGGGGTAGGAGGGAAAGAAAAGCCTGAACAGCTTTTTGTTTGACTGAGAAGCATCTCGGAAAGTAAAATCTAGCTTCCTTTTTTTTTTGGCATATCACTTTTTTTTTTTCTTTTTAGCTCACATCTTGCAAAAAACATTCTTAAGCCCTCCTTAAGTTTTCTAATACAAACAGGATAATCCATCCAGCAATGTTTATTTCACACCATTATGCACAAAAATAAGTGCAACTGTTCATCTATTCGGGATAACTGTTTGTAAAGCAGCAAATCAAGATTTCTTTGTCTGAATTATATCAGTCCATCATATGGAGATACTCTAGGAGAATATTGTGATACTCTCCTAGAATAGGAGAGACTATTTTACTCGGTTTACCCGCCTTTAGGGTTCCCTCACTTGTTTGGGACTTATAGCCAATTCAGAATAAGTGAAGAGATTTATAATCCAGGGACTGGGTGAATCCTAAAGAGCAGAAACAACCAATTTGTGGGCAACTTCTCTCTTGAGGCAGAACGAAGTTCAGGATATAAGATTCCAACTTGCAAGTACAGGTAGATTTCACTGCAGCAACTGAAACAATTGCCATCCTCAGCTCTCACCCACAGCTCGGCAAATAGCTATTTCCCAAGAGCAGGGGCAGATGAACAGATGTCTATTTGCTCCCCAGTTCCTAGCACATCATTTGAGGCTGCTGGCTAGCGAGTCCGTTTCATGATACTTTGCTGGGGTTTAAGCTGAGGAGTTGAAAAAAATGACTGTGCAGCTTTGGGGATGAGCAGCCTTGAGCTGAGAGATGGGGCGGGCAGCTGAGAATGGTAAAAGTGTCACTCCAGCAGCAAAACGTGCCTGTGACGGTGAGTCAGTCTGGAAGTGGGTGGCTTTCTGAACTATTTGTACGCGGACAGGACTCTGGTCCACTGCTTCAAGCCACAGCTCCACTTTCACAGTAGGTTCTGGTTATCAGTAAAGTCATGGCTCCCTCAAAAGGCTAGCATCCTGTGTGTAGCGTGCAAAGCCACTGGCCAGTCTGAAAACCAGACCACACAGCTGAGCCATTGCAGCTCTCCAGTAAAGCATGAGGAACAAAGGGATATCCTTTTCCAGTCACTGGAGGTTGGGATTAAATGGAGGCTTGGTCTAGGTGGATGAAACTCTGTCCGACACTGCAGAAGTTGCACTTGCTTCCTCCCAGAGGCTGAATACTGCTCACTTGCCCTGGGGAGGAGTATAATGAAATCTTCAAAAAGTAAAAATCGATAAACCTCTCAAGATCACCACTTTTTTAGAACAAATGCAATGCTTTCAATTTAGGAGTCAATTAATGGCAAAAAGTAGCTCAACATCAGCCTTACAAACTCCATGCAAAATTTCAGAATGGCAGTGATGAGTCATGGACCGTGATGACTATGACATCTTGTTATAAAGAACCAGCTTCTCCTTTGTTTTCTTTTTTTTTTTCCCCCTTCTTCCACTGGATATCTAGCTCACTGCAGCTCATGTGCTATTTAAATATAGCCATACTCTTCACATTCAGCTAGCCAAGCAAATGCCAGGCATGCTTTCCATGTTATTTTTACTGTGTCTACCCAAGTATAATAACAAACAAAACCCATAAACCCATTCCAGAGACCAGATTCTGGGATCACTGATATTCTTTGGCCAAAATCATCAGCTTAAGTCAAATCACATTAATTTATAGCGACCCCACCTTATTATTGGGACCTATTATATCAAACCCAACTGTTTTTCTTTTAGGAAATTTTGTCATTAATGAATGGGGATAGATTTGTCTCAACTGACTTGTTTGGATAGCGTCAAAAGGCAGTCATGCTGCTTTTTTTCAGTCTCCATCATTTGATCGGATACATTTAGAGTCTACAGAGGCAGGTTTTCAAGCGAAATACTTTGTTAGCTGGACTAACTTTGACCAGACTCCAGTCTTCATATCTCAGCACGATTTAGTATTGTGATCATGTCTCCCCTTAGTGGCTAGCCCCTGGGATTAACAGCTTGCTGCTTACTCACCAGACAGTTAAAGGAGTTGTTTTTAGCACAGGCTACAGGGGCCACTGATTTGGGTGTGCAAGACTTTGAGATTCAATCCTTGCCAATTAATAGTCATATCAGAGTTCACAGAGCCTCACTTTAGCATAATGAAAGAAAAAGGCAGGTGCAATCCTGTCTAAACAGGAGTGTTCTGCACAGAGGGCATCTGCTAGAGTCTGAGCAGAGCAGGGTTCATGTGAAAGGACGTGGCAGAATACAAAATACACAGGAAGGTTGAAAGATGAGTCTGCAACATCCATTAATGCTACTCCTCCCAAGCTCAAACTGAGCACTGCTTGATGGTGCTGACTGATTGGAATATCCTAGTAAAATGCCACAAGCAAACTTGACCCAACGTGTGTCAAACAGGACAAGCAGGCTGCTGTTTCACTGCAGCGAGGGGAGCTGCTGTCTCAGGCTGGCTGTGGTAATACAGACAAGCAGCAGGATGTCAACAGTTGTGTGAATCTCTTGTGCTAGGCTGCCGAGGAACCTACAATTCCCTTTCAAAAGTGGAGGCAAACTTCTGTTCTGAATGTTTAGGTAGTGGTATAGTGCCACAGGTCCTGACTGGCACTTCGGCCTGTTGTGATAGATGTTGTATAAACACAACAGTAAACAGGTCCCTAAATATAAAGGATGTTCTTTTTTTTTTTTCCGTTTCTTTTTTTTTTTTTTCTTTTTTTTCAGCTGCTTTCCTTTCTCTTGCTGGAACAATGAATGCTATGATCACAGCAATTCACAGGAAGCTGCTCATAGGATGTGCCTAGGGAAGCCAGCTGGGTGTGCCATTTAAGATCTTGCAGTTATTAGAGTTTGAATCATTTAGAGATAATTACTTTATATTTAGGGCACTTAGTGATTTCCCTCTCCTCTTCCCTGGTGCCTGAGGAAATGGAAGAAGATGTGACTGTTTCACAAATACTTCCCACCTTTCCTTTCCCCTCCTCTTGAAATAAAAATGATAATGTAGTGATCTGTGCACACAATTGAAGTCTTTTAGGTTCACCAAATGTTAGGGAGAAAAATGAGCACAGTGGGAGGAAAAGCAGTCAGCACTGAAATGGTACTTTATTCTTTAAATAGCACCTGCTATCTAGAGATCTCAAAGCATCTCACAAGTACTAAGGAATATAGCTGCACTCACTATTCGTAGCTCCTACTGGGGTGAAACCACCAGTCTAAAGTTTCACTGCGGTCCCTCTGTACTTCAAGGCAAAGTTTTGCATATTTTTTGTTTTTAAATACAGCTTTTTTTAGCTTTGTTTTAGGCCTCCGCCCCGAGACTGGCTGCAGAGGGTGGATCCAGTAGTGGGGTTTGTGGATACAGTAGTGTACCAGATCTGTGTTGCGATAGGAGAGGGGAGATCTTTTAGAAGAGTTAAGTAGCAGTATGTGTCAGTGTCTACTTGTCCTCCCTGGTGGGTATGAGCTTTTATCACAGTGGAGGATTAAAATTATCCTGCAAAGAACTAGAATCTACAGCAGAGAGACGATAAGGACCAGGGTCCAGAAATAAAGCAGGCAGACTTACCACAGAATTAAAAAAGATGAGAATGTAATACTAGAATGCGAACACCGTGTCACTCTCAGCTGTTTTCTAGGGTTTGACAGGAACATGTCCTCTGAACCAAATGCCCGGCCAGCCATGATCACCAGTCCTTTTCCCAGCAGAGTGGTTACCCATTCTCCGCCGTACCATAGCTCTGGTCCTTTAGCAATGAGGGATCGGAGCTGCTGTTCCCCTGTTGGCAGTGGTACGCTTTTTATGCCTGCATGGGAACCCACAGCTGCTGCAGGAGTGCACATCCACCAAAGAGTTTCTCCCTTTCTCTCTCTCTTTCTCTCAGGTTTGTCTTGCTCTACTGTATTATCCATCAGTTCAAACTGTAGATGATCTGTAAGCTGGAGTTCTAAAGGCATGCAGCCTACGTTCTCTTACACGAGCAACTTTGGATTTCTCTGATGAGGGAAGAACATAACCAGAAAGTCTGAGCTGATGTTAGAAAATAGAGACTTGACTGGCTAGATACATTTGATGTGTATGCAGCACATTTCTGATGTGGGAACTGCTTTAATATATTAAAAAGGAAGTGGCTTTCTGGCCACCCCAGAGGGGTGAGTGAATTGTCACCACTCACAGTTCGTAAATGGAGGAAGCTGAGGACCCACATAACTAAGTACTTTGCCAAAGGTAGTAGAACAAGACAGCAGTAGACCCTGAGTTTGAGCTCCTGCTTGGGCTGGACTTTGGCCAGAGCAGCCGCGAACTGCCCTGGTCACAGGCTTTCACCTTCAAGCCATCCTATGGGATGTTGTGCAACATGATTTTATGTGATAGTTTAGGACCGTCAAACTCCATGTCTCTGTGTCTGTCTTCCTTTTCTCAGGAAAAGTTAGTGTAGTAGATTTACCACCTCACCGAGTTAAATCACCTGGTCTGTGTTTGCTCTGAAGAGCCCATCACTGTAGTGCTAGTTCCTGATTATCTCCGTAATGGCAAATAATGGAAGAATGCTTCCTGTTTTGTGATTTATGACATTTCCTAATGATTTGTTGGTCAGATTTCAGGTTAATCTAATCCTTTCTTTATTTTCAAACAGGATGGATGTTGGATTCTTGGCAATGTTCCAAACATCTTTCACAAGTGAAATGCCATGTAGTATTTTTCTCTGAAGTATTCTAAATACGAATAATCACACAATAGGATGGGGAAAGGGTTGCAAAACATGAGGAGAAAATATGTGAGTGTAATTCAGACTAAACTTCTGTTCTAGATTCAGAGTGGGGGTACCCTCTGAAGGTCCTGCTTCATCTCTGTTTCACCCAACACAAAACTGGGTTTCAACATAAAATCATTCTAGTCCAGTGTACCTCAGCTGGTTTGGATCTAGATACAATCCACAATAGTGACATGTTGTTTAGATCTTGCTGAGGATCCAGACCATCTTTTTTTACAATTTTCACAGGGTCTTGGCCAGCTGATTCTGCAGATTGTCACACAGATAACCAAGCTCCCTGGGGCATAGTGTGAACACTGAAGTAAAACTACTGAGGCAGCAAGATACAGTAGTGTCACTCCACTGTTGTAAATGTTTCTGAGGACCGTCAGTTCCTTTTTTAAGGAGTTGTCTGTGCAGTGGCTTTACAGAGTAGGTTGTGTCATCTATGTTCCCTGTACCCTTGAAGTAACCTTTAAAGCATCTTCCAACAGCTTCTCTGTAATTCCACCAACTTCCAGAGTCTTTACCTAAATATTTCTCACTGTTGTTGTTCTCAGTCTCAGCAGCTCCTGATTGTCCTTAGTTTGTTTTCTGTGTCCTTTTTTTAACAAGGAATGTCGGAGAGAGAGCGGCAAGTCATGAAGAAGCTGAAGGAAGTGGTAGACAAACAGAGGGATGAAATCAGAGCAAAGGACCGGGAACTCGGACTTAAAAATGAGGATGTAGAGGCTGTAAGTGGCTCTTAGTCTTCCTATTTCTCTTCTTTCTCACCCATACTTCTATAGCCTGGTTTCAAGTTTTAAGTTAATGTAGAATTTATAAGCAATGCCAGATTATTAGTCCAGTAACCAAAGTGTCCGGCATAACTGTGGAGTGTCCAAAATTATTAGGCAGTCTTCAGTGCAGAAACACACCCTCAGCTGCGTTTGGAAGGATCAGGCACACTTGGAACATGACTGGAAACCAGTGTAACAAGAGAGGAAGATGGGGGAAGGACAGGTTGTTTTGTTTGTTTCCTTAAAGACCTGATACCTCTCCCCTTTCATGGGAACAGGACAGGTAACTTTCTCTGGCTTCTTGAATCTCTTTCTGCTTTGGCAGCGCAGACTTCCTCAGCATCCCCATGCCTCACCCCACCCGGAGATCCCTGCTGTAGGTGAGCGGGCTACTGTATATTTTATATATAGTCTCTGCAGAGTTTGGCAGCAGGGACTCCACACACACTCCCACACCAGGGATGCAATGTGGATTACCTCTTTGCACAGGAAGGGGGTAGGAGGAGGGGGCCTGAGCCCAGCCCAGGTCACTCACTTTTGCCAGCAGTGGACAGAAGGTCACTGGGAGGATGAGTGGCCCTGGGGACCACAGCACAAGATCCGGGTTTAGTCTTAGATGAATCACAGACTCCACTGTGGCTTTGGGAATCACATGATGTCTTGGTTCTTTCTGTGTCAGGAGGAATGACCTCCTTACCCATATTTTGCTTCCCATCCTCACGCTGCCTCATCTCCTTAGGCCATGGGACTTTTCTGGTGCTAGTGAGGGCCAGACCTAGATGATCTCTGCTCTACCCGCGTGCCTCTGGCAGGTGCTGTGGCCTTTCAAATTGGTGCTGTCCATACAATGCCCAGCAGGTCACATCCTGCCTTATGAGAGAGCCTGAGAGCTGAAAGCAAAGTACTTATAAATTGAATACTGAGGATTCTGCTGCCTTGTCTTTCTCTCTTCTACTCTGGGTTAAGATTTGATTCAGAATCCTGTAAGCCACCCTGTCCTTGAACTTTGCTTTTTTGAAATGTAATATCAGAAGTGATGGATTTGCTTTTAGCTGGAGAATTCCCTGTGCTAGGGGAAAAAATGCCTCTTTACTCTGGAAACCAATTAAGTTTTGGTGACTGCAACTGTAGTAGATAATTAGATATTAAAAAAAACTAATCTGGGGGCGAGGAGGAGAAGGAGGGGGGAGAATTTTCCAGATTAAATTCAACAGGAGCCCACTACTTTTTCTTTGTCATAATGTTTGGGACTTGACCATCATGGCTGACGTCTGAATGGATGCTGACCTATTGCATCAATGTTTTGCAGCTTCAGCAGCAACAGAACAGATTAATGAAAATTAACCATGACCTGCGGCACCGGATCACCGTTGTTGAGGCTCAGGGGAAGGCGCTGATTGAGCAGAAGGTGGAGTTGGAAGCATATCTGCAAACCAAGGAGCAGGAGATGGGCAACCTGCGAGCAGAGCTGGGGAAACTGAGAGAAAAACTGCAGGGGGAGGACAGCCAAAATGGGGAGGAAGTAAAGGTAAGAGGCACCTTAAATCACTTTTTTAAACAGCCTTTTAAAATGCTTTGGACTTCATACCAAGTACCTCTTCTTTGAATAAATGTGATTGATACACATCAGAGGCAATGGTAGGACTCAAGGACAGCATCTTGTGTTCAGGTGTGACTTGCAGAGAGCAATGTCACTCATTGCACTGTGACAGGAAGGGCCCCGTTAGGATGGATGATGACCCAGTGGAACAGACCCCTCCTTCCTAAAGGAGAGAACTGGTCACACGGAAGGCAGAGTGGCAGCACAGGTTAGCAGTGGGATGTCTGCATTAGGAAACAGCTCTCCCCTTAGACTTGGCTGCCCATCGTACATCCTAGGGAGTGTAACCTTTGGGTCATGCACTAGGCTGCAGAATTCACCAGATACCAGAACAAATCATTGCTTCAAAAGAGAGTGTTCTATTGAACACATCGCGAGGCAATCCAAAATCTCTGGAGTATCAGCTGTTAGTTTGTATTGGAGGCACATAGTGTTTTGGTAGTTCTGTATTAGTACGTTTGGGTTCATTTTGTTTGTACACATCAACCCCTTCCCCCAAAGGAAAACAAACGGATCCCTTAACAGTCTGGGTTTTCCAAAAGATAGACAGCTGACAAGTAGCTTAAGCCTTGCTGAGTATGCAAATATGCAAGCCCTAACGGGTCCCAAAGCTGCAATGCACTATGACGGCGGTGGCATGTGAACCATAGTAGAAAAGAAATTGTGTCGGAAGGGGTCCCAGAGACAATGCAGAACTTGGCACACTTGGTCCTCGCAGTGCTTATGGCGCTTTTGATCTGTCAGGACTATTGCTACCAAATCAACGTATAAATATTTGAAGGCACCTTTTAGAGGAACCAACTTTGGCCCTGTTTCTGCTTTCGTTGTGAAGTGTTACTAGCACAAATGTTCATGAAAAGCAAATGTTACTGCTTGCATACTCAAGTACTTGCAGGAACAGGCAAAGTGACAATATGCAAATTGAGTTGGTGCTGAGATCAGAGCAGTAGGAATGCAAACTTGAGGGGAGCTTCATGAGAAAAAGATGCATCTCTGATCTGTTACATCCCTTAGCCCTCTTTATGGTTCCTGTTATTTTTGTTTGTGCATATGACACTACTTCTGTCTTACTGAAGTAAATGTGCTATATTTCCCTTTCCTAATTCTGCTCTTAGAAGAGTACAAAATAGGGTAAGGGGTATCGTGATACGAAAGAACTCTAAAGGAGCACTATCATATAGATCTGTTTGGCTGGATGTGTTGGTAGGAGCTCCAGTACCAAGCGGCATTGTAAATGCCCGATAGACTGCAGCAGAGAGTGAAACATCCAATTCACTTGTAGTAGACAGGAATACCCATCAAGAAGCAGAGGCAAAGGCTGATGGGTCCCCCCTGGAATGTGACAGCCAGTGTTGTGTTAACATGTCTCTGCTGAACTGGGCAAGCACTGTATTAATAATGAAAAGGATGATTTCATTGCTGTTAATTCAGCCAGGACACCCAGCTTTGTAAACGGGGCTGTGGAGCTGAGGCCTGGAGCCAGCAGGAGTGAAAGTGTCTTCAGACTGGAGAGAAAGGATGTATTCTTTACCTCTCTCTAACTCACCAGTTCCATGGCAATGGTGCCTCTTCTAATTAGAGCTGTTCCCCGCTCTCTCTGCCAGGATGATGGTTAGACAGGAATTGCAGCGGCAAGCAGAAAGCTAGAATAGCTGCATGCTCTGGAATGGACATTGCTTGTTGGCTTCAGTCAAGTACATTGGCATTGGCTACGGGCTGCTCAGTCTTTGCTGATCTGAGCAAAATCTAGCAAAAATAGCTTATTTGGGCAAAGGTGGGGGGCAAATATACAATCAATAGAAGAGGCATCAGCTCCGACCCTAATCTAAAGGGATGAAGAAGAGGAAAAGTGTTTGGGTAATTTCCCTTGAACCTCGTTAGGTTGTATCAGTCTTTATTTATTGTAGTCTGTGTAAAAAAAAATGCATTTGGATGAATGGGGTGAATCAAACAAACGGAGAAGCGAGCATTGCTGTGCTGCTTTGTTTTTTCAGGACAAGGACTGCAATCCCTGCTGTAGAAATTGATATTGCACCAACCTTAGCCCAGCCGAGTTTAACCTGAAGTCATTTATCAATAGATAGCAAAACTGTTTCACAAACACATGAACTCAAAAGAGGGTAGGATCAGGCTTACAAAAAATGGACTCTGTTTAAGAATTTCAGTACTTGGCTCCTCAAATTTCCAGCTTGTATCCCAGCGAGGCATCACTGCACCACAGGAGCTCTGAAACTCTGATCTCTGCATCCTACTAGGAGGACGGGTGGCTGACCTGGTTGCTGGCATCTCTGATTTCATGTGCTAGCTTTTAGTCAGTCCTTGCAAAAAGCATCGCATTTCTAATGTACTTTGCTGGAACAGAGTGCCCTGCATTTATTTGTATTGTTAGAAATCCTGCAGACCTCTAAAGGCTCGCAGCTGCTTTTCAGCATCTTGATTCTGAGTACCCTTCCCAAAAGCTTGTGATTTCTCAGTAACTGGTCCTCAGCTCTGTGCAGCCACTGAGTGGAACAACAGTAGAGGACCTGAATGATGGTCCTCTCTGTGCTGTGTTTATGCAGACCACATTTTCACAAGCGGTTAGAGCCAAATAGTTCTGTGCAAGTGCTAGAGTCTACCTGGGTGACAGGAAGCAGCCCGACAGGCCTGGGAATCCAACCATGTGTCTAGAGTGCGCTTCTGGCTTGTTGGGAGCCACAGAAACTGGGGGGTGGGAGATAAAATTCCTCCAAGCTTCCAGTGAACTCTTCTCAGAGGAAAAGAAGAGACAAGGGTACACGTGTATAAATGCCTCATCTGGCATTCATCTGCAATTTTCTTCCACTTTGTAGCTAGATCCTGGTGCTAACACCAATCCTGCTTTTTCAATAAAGGCATTAAGGGGTTATAAACTTAAATCTCCACTTAATGTGTTTACATCCAAAGGAGCTTTCTCTTTGTGGGAGGAGAGCTGGAAGGAACTGTTATGATCTTCGCTATGCAGTTTTTTCAGTGTTTATATAAAAGGCTGATGTTTGATTTACCCCATTTGCTAAAACTATGAATTCCTTAACCTGACTTGTTTATCAAAAATTGGACTATACATTTTCAGTGGACTTTCTGGCAGTCTGGATTCCCCAGAAATTTCTCCACAAGAAAACTTACCACCTATAAGGTGGCTCAAGTTGGACCCTGTGTTCAGGCCTGCCAGAAACAATTGGTGGTTTTGTTTTCCCAAACATGTAACTCTATGAAAGATTCCTGTGAGCACAGGGCTTTGGTTGTATGTCACAAAACTTGGGTCTTCCTCATTTGCAAGCTTCCCCCGAACACCAGGTGAAGAGAGGTAAAACAGAGCTCAGACCATTTTTCAGAGGCTTGCCAGGGTCTCACCAGTCCTGTGTGGGTCATCAGTCAACCTGAGCACAGGAAAGAACAAAGCGATGAGATCACTGAGCTGTTCTTGCTGACAGTCTTTAACATGAAAAACAAATTTCTTCTACATTTTTTTCCTCTTAAAATTGCTGTGTTTCTCTTAAAAGAGGATTTAATAGTGCTGAAAGGAAGAGGTTGGGAAGTAGACTGATAAATACTTCAAACTCCTCAGACATGCACTTGCATGGTGAATTTAAAGCCCACGTTTCACTTCCTAGGCAGAACCAAACAATGATGACTGCCTCTCAGAGTCAGAAAAGATGGCAATGGACTTAAAAGATCCGAATCGTCCAAGATTCACCTTGCAGGAGCTCCGGGATGTCCTTCATGAGAGGAATGAATTGAAATCTAAAGTATTTTTACTTCAAGAGGAGCTGTTATATTACAAAAGGTAGGTTAGATCTCCTCTCCTGTTGCATGCTATACACAGAGGAGCCATAGGGCAGGTCTAGAAACAATAAATGTTCTCTTAAATAGTGTCCAACAAGCTTATATTTCTGCAAAAGCTTAAAGCAGAGATTGCAAGCATACAGCTTTGGTTTGAATCTGGTCCCTCAAAATTGGGAAAAACTATGTCCTTCCCTAACTCCCAGGTTCCCCCTGTATCTTAGAAAGATTACAAACATTTAATACTTTTGAACTTCAAAAATGAGGATAAAAGTGGGTCTAAAATGAAAATTCTAGAACTTTTATTCAATGCATTCCTCTTCTCCCTCTCCTTGTCACAATGGGAAGAAAATATTGAAAGGAGACCCAGTTCTAGGTGCTGTTCCTTGGTTGACAGAAAAATCTCCCATTGATTTCAATGAGCTTTGAACAGATCTTTTTGTATTTCTTCATCAACAGTACTACCTCAGAGTGAATTTTAGAACTTAAAGTGCTTCCATAGCTTGGGAGGAGACCATTAATTATCTTTTCTTTCTTTCAAGTGAGGAAACAGAAGAAGAGACTAGATCCCCTCAACCTACACCCATAATTCAGTCAAAACCCTCAACTCAGCCTGAATCTGGAATCAAACGACTGTAAGTAGTGTGTTTTCTAAGGATACTGGATATAGTCTGCGAATACTAAATGTTTCTTATGAGTAGGACAATTTTAAAGAATTTAAAAATTAAAATAACCACATCCCTAATGTATATGGGAGAGGCATTGAAGGGAGCGCTTGACAGGTACCATGAAACAGCAGTTGGCTTTGGCCAAAACTTTTGCCTAGATCTGGGACAACTTTCAGTCTCAGATTATTTCCTGTGGTACCTTTTGCTCCCTACGTGCAGAGCGCAGTAGGGAGTCCAACAGTACTCCATGTGCTTGTGTTTATGGGCCAGACTGGTGTGCCCAAGGAGCCCGCTCCAGTTCTCATGTTTCCTTCTTAAGTACGCTGTTCAGGCTAACCAAAAGAGTATGCGTTGCAATGTTTTACTATAGCTGGTATGAGGTGATGAGCTCTTAAACACAGACACCTGATCTTCCCAGAGAATTTTCTTGTCTGGGCCACGTAGTCATACTCCAAAGGGAGGTGCTACTAGTTGTGGTCCTAACCAGAGCACTGCTCAGCCTGTCCTGTGTGCCCAAAACTGAAATCAGTGCCAGATCTCGGTGTGCAAGGATTGTAGGAACAGTGCTCCTGTTCAAGTGCAAGTCCCAGTTCCTTAACACACAGATCCTAAGGTGGTGGAGTGTCAGAAACTGCTGGCCCCCAGGTCATGCTCGGAAGACATGTAAAGAGTGTTGTTCACAAGGAAAACCAGCCGCAGACCTGTAGCAGTTGGGTGTGGAGAGCAAGGTTTCCCCATGACCTCACTGTGCCCGTTTCCCTGTTGACCTAAGCCTTTAGACCCTGACTTGCACTATGTGTACAGCACAAAACTCTTTTGTTTGCTGAACAAATTTGCTGCTGGAGAGGATGCTAGCTTTCTTGGCTATAAAGAACCCCACCTTCTTCTGGTGAAGCGTTTGATGTTGCTGTCCAAAACCTAAGCTTACTGTCAGAGGTGTGCATTTACTAGTATATCACTTAATTATAAAATCACAGTGTTAGCCAATCCATTTGTCTGTTGAAACTCCCTCTTTGTACATTTATTTATTCCAAATTAAGTCCTATAACCTTATAGCAAGTCTTTGAATTTTTGTGATACTGGAAGCTTAACTTTTTTAACTGCATAAATGATTTTGGAACAGTCATTTGTTTCCACATAAGAAGCTCCTCCATCCTGTCCCCATGTCCATAACCTTCAGTCCTGGTTTAATAATAGCAGCAGCCCTGTGAGAGTAAGTTCCGTTGGAAGATCTGGACTGATCCAAAACACCATAAAGTCAGGAGGGCACTTTGGATTATTTTCAGTAGACTCCAGCTTCTGTCTGTGCCGCTTTGTTTGCTGAGAGAACCCTTCCTCTCACATGACTAGAAAATACACTTTGAGTTTGGACTTAAGTGTTCATTCTGCAACTGCGATGATGATACTACTATGTTGCCTCACAAGATCTCCACTGTAAAGCTTCTCTTTTCTTTTAAATTTATTTTAGTACTTTTTAAAGCTTATCCCATTGTGGGGGATGGCTGGTTTCAGCTTACGCAGTTTGTGTTGATTGCAGTTTCCATGCTTGATTTATGAAGCAAAGGCAGCATAAAAATGTAAATAGACGTTGTAAGACAGAGCACATGCTGACAAGGTATTAGCTGTGACTCTGCCTTCTGCATACATGCGTAAGCAACGCAGGGAGCCATGGCAGGAGGCACATAAGTGTTTTCAACCAGTCATCTCAGTGCTTTCTTCCTCTCCGTTAATTTATTAGTGAAAACCTGTTGAGCATCAGACCATTCAATCAATGCACATTTTCAGACACCTGTCTAATCTGTTTCTCAGATTCTGTGTTAAATTCATATAACTAAACCTGCACACAATAAAACATAAAATCGTGTTGTTTTGGCCCCTTTCAGAAAAGGCAAGAGTCCTCTTCTGCCAGAGAGTGGAAGCACTGTATTGAGCAGTGCTGAACCTGCTGATAAGATGAAATTACTTTCTTTAGCTGTCATGCTCTGTCCCCAGGTTTCTTTCTGCTCTCTCTTCCTTCAGCCATCGTATTAAATAAGGGAAGATAAAACCGTCTACTTACGTAACCCAAAGGGTGGTGATAGTTTTCAGGTTTGTCTTATTCTTGCAGCCTGTCTGGATAGGATTTGTCTAGTGTGGGTTTATTTTCTTTCCCCCCTCCTCTCTGTCTGTTGTCAACAGTGTACTTGCAGATGGGCTTTAAAAAGACAAGGAAATTTCACTGCTGGGAGAAACAAAGAACTCAAGTGTAGCATCTGTTCTGCCCTGTTACAACACCCCTCCTGCCCCACGTGCAGTCCCTGCCTGCTGCCAGCTGTCTCCAGAGCTCCCTTCTCCCTCTCCCAGGCAGGATGCTGTCAGCACCTCGCTATAAGGCTACCTGGGTAACACACTGGCACATAAACTCTCCATACCTAATGATGTGATGAAAACTTGTAATGCTGGTACCTGCGTGCAGACTGCCTTTACAAATGAAAGTAGGGTTGCTTTTCCCTCCATTTCAGACTTTTCCTTCTGATTAAACAAAAAGCTGAAGTACAAAAATAGGAGACGCTGTTGCTCTCCTCTCAAGAGAAGTTTTATGCTTGCCTGTGTAATGTGCCCTTTTTTCCTTGACCACGCAGTATCTCAAGGAATGAGTCATTTGTATATGTAGCCTGTGCCATCTAAGATGTGTCAGGTGATTCTGTGCTGCATCCCCATAAAGAAAGGAAAACAGGAGTTACAGAAATCAACATTTTTTCACTCCCAGGGTTTGCATGTTTGGGGCAAACTCTGACTGAGTTCTGATCTCCAACTGATTGATTTCTACATTTGTCTCTACCACATCACATGTCAGAGTTTTGATGAAATAATGTAACCAGGAGGCTTTACTGAGGAGGAAAAGTAGAAGGATTAAAAATGCTCCCTCTGTTTTGAGCAGAAAACACCCTTTTGTTTTCTCTTTAAGGATACGTGCTTGTTTGTCGCTGATGTAATGCCTGAAACAGCCATAAGTTTTCTTCCTATTCTTGCAGTCTACAAAAGCTGATGTGTCTGTCTCATTTCTGCAGCTCACGGACCGTGCCACAATGCATAAAAATAGAAGTCCTAGCTACTGCTAATGATATAACAATGTTTGCTTCTTTGTTTTTATTTTTAATCTAAGAATAGCAGTTAGAGTGACTGTGTTGGGGAGAGCTGCATTTGGTCACAAGTGAAATGTCTCTTGTGATTTCAACTTAATCTTTAACTGACATTAGTCCACAGTTCAAAAAAATATTTGGCACAAGGGAGAACCTCTGAGGAGAATCCTTAGAAAAACAGAGAGTGTTCCAGGTATGGATGAAGGTGTGTTGGCAGGTTTGTGTGGGGCTGGCTGTGGACAGAGCACCTAGCCAGCGTGCGCTCTCATCCTCTAAGTTGCATGAATTGTATAATGCATAGTAAAAGTGCTGAACTCTTACAAAGAAACAGTCTTGCTGCTGGCCAGCTAGAAGGTGTTTCTGCTAGAGCAGTTGCAAGGTTTCGATAAGTATTTAGCTGCCTGCAGTTGGCATCTTTCTGCATGTGAAGCAATGAAGGTTCTTTTGGAACGGATACACAGGCCCTTTAACCAAGTAGCTTGCATAGGAGGTTATTTCAAGATTTCACCTGCAATACTGGTTTTTAACTTGAAACTATCAACTGTAACATTTGTAAAATCTTTAACTGTAATGCTGGTCCCGTCTAACCCTGTTTTCCGTGCAAATATCCAGTAGTCACAGCAGAGTCCTGTTTTGTATTTCTTAACATACACCTTCATCCTTCATTTCATTATGTATGTGCCTGTTTGTTTCTTGGGAAGAAAAATGTGCACTCTGCTCTGCATTGCTAGAGGTGGTAATACCTTGATGAAATCCAACCCAGATTGCAGGCTGCCTCACAACAGAAAAGTGGTATCTTTTAGAAATTCAAAAGCAATTTAAATTGTTTCAATGACTGCTTTTTCTAAATATGAGTTTTTCACTGAGGAGAGCTGTCTTGGGTGATGCAGATCCACCTCTCCCTGTAACATGTCCTGTGTGGTAATTCAAAGTAACCCCGTGTATCATGTTTGCCTCTTTTCTTTTTAATGGAATGCTTTTTCTTTCCCCTGCTCCAGTCTTATCTCTTCTGTGTCTGTACTTTCCTGACCAGGATCTTTACAGCCATAATGCCCATGGTAGCAGCTGGATTGATTCCAGACGATCCCACATTGCAGCCAATAAGAAGACTTGTGTCCCTTGTAGGAATTTTTTTTTAAAATGTTTGGTACCGTGGTTTCCTTTTGCATGACCCTGTGTTAACATGCACTGCTGGTTGCATTCTCATCGGCTGCCTGTGGGATCACAGAAGAACAAAGTGCCAATCAGAATGACCAGTCAGTACACAACTCATCGCAGTCCTCCATGCTCATCCTCAAGTACTGACATTTTATCACCTTTCGCCTTAATGTTACCATGCTAAACCAGTCATTATTCCTGAGAAAATTGTTGCAATATGCAATTTTAACCAGCATCTGTTAATCTTGCTTACTAAGCGTGCCTATTCACAATTCATACCAATGCTTTTTAAGAAACCCATGTCATTCTAATGACTCGTTACAAATCAGTTAGTTAGATTTACAGAATGTAATGGCTGATATCTACATTAATTTCCAGTGTCAATTATAGGCTGTCGCTTCCATGTCTTTCTACCTATGCACTGTATATTTTGTCTCTAATTATGTATTTTGGAATGGAGTATACACTCAATAATCAATGCTATCATCCTATTCTTGGCTGTCCCTGGAAGACATACTGATAATTGTTAATGCAAACTCTCTTTGCATTAGAACTGCTGCTTTAGTGATCTTTATATTTACAGCAGCAACAGAGTATTTAAATTCCTTTCCTCTCCACACAGACGTGCTTTTTCCAAACATCCTCCATGAGAGTTTTTTAGGCATAATAACAATTTTCATTGTTTCAGAAGGAATTAAAAAAGCCTAACCCTTCTGCTTCATGTAGAGATTTTACGAACGTATTTTTCTCTTACTTAATTTCACGATAAAGTGAGAAATTACTGAACTTTGACATTTGAAACTTACTGCATAAATACAGCTGTCCTTTGTGTGGACTTCCAAGATAGTAAGCCTGACCATGCAGGACCAAACATGCTCAGTAGAAAGCCTCTGTGACTAGACACTTCCTTTATCAGCTGGAATTGGATCTGGCCCTGAAAAGACATAGCATATGTGTGTGAATTTAAGAGCTCCTGTGATGAAGGTGGTAGAAAACTATGAGGCTAATTAAGTGCAAAAGACTTATTTCACTACTACGGCTGCACATTTGAAGCCAGGAAATGCAAAAGTTCAGGTCCTGCTAGCAATGTTAGTTATGTAGCTATGCACTTGTGTAGCTTTTTAGATCACTTTCTAGTCAAGAAATAATTATTCTTAATATTCTTGATATTCTTAACAATTATCATCCTGCTTACCTGCACGTATGATAGGATATTTTTTCAGGAAAGCTGCCTTAAACCTCATTGACACTCAAATACAGCCTCCTATGTGACTAGAGACATCGAAGGCAGAACTCCCTGGTCTGCACAAGGCAGCTTGGACAGTTGGGATCATGGTACTGAGGGGAGACTTAAGGGAGTGTGGGTGGAGGAAGAATGCTGAGGACGGTGGGGCGTGGACATAGGGTCAGGTTTATGCCCTGACAAATATTCCATCACCTGTCAAAGTTGAGTTTATATTTGTTTAGTCTCTTCCTGTAGCAGCATTTAGCAATTCCCGTCCTGGATCAGAATTGCATTATGCTTGGTACTGCGCAAGTGAAACAGTATTAGCTCTTAAAATGCACCATTAAAACCGAAAGGGTATGCAGCCAGTTCAAACCTTTGGTAGCTGGAACCACAACTTTTGCATTTCTCAGCAGACCTAAACACTGCACTAACACCTCTTGTACTGAACTCAGGACGAACGTTGAACTTGCCTAATCAAGTAACTTCATCCTATACAAATAAAATGATACTAAGGCTTTTTCCAACTGTATTTTTTTAGCTCTGTTGTCAGCTGGCAATTTGTTGTTGTATTAAACGGCTGTTGGTTCAAGTACGTCATTCTCTTAGAGCACCCAAGCTGTGTGACAGGAAATGACGTGCACACTTGTGTGCATTTGTTTAGAGCCTTCATCCTGCAAACTCTTGTGCACATACGTGCATTTATTCATTTATTTTTGCAGGAATCAAGTCTGTCTGTCAAAGTCTGTACACTTGGAAAAAATGTGGAGGCTTATTTTCTTATCTTATGAATTTCCCTGCTGACACCCTTAAAAACATTCTCTATTTCTGCTTTATGGTAAATGATACAGATTTAATGCCAAAGATACCACTTTACTTATGCCAAGAAACTAACTTGTATTGTGTCGCTTCTTTATCGCAGGGCCGGGGAAGGGGGAATATACATCTAAAATGATACTCGCACCTTGTAGAGTCAACAGCATTTAGAGCTTATCTGAAGCTTCCATAGCCAAACCGCTTGAGATTGCAATGGCTTCATCTCTAATAACATTTTGACATGCACTCCCATCAGGCTTCACTGCCTTGATTTTTGCAGATGCAAACAGATTTTTTTGCTCTGTGTTTTGTTGTGCTGTGTATCGTGTCGGGTGTTTGAAGTGTTTTCAAGATGGTAAACAGTCTTCTTTCTTTTCCCTCCCCTCCCTTACTCCTCCCTTCCCGGAAGGTTTAGTTTCTTCTCTCGTGATAAGAAACGTATGCAGGCATCACAGAAAAATGTCCACTTCCAGGATACTTTTGGAGAATGGTCAAATTCAAATAAAGATGACTCCTACACCGAACAAGGACAAGAAGCTCTGCAGCATCTGTGACTAGAACCTTGAGGTGTTCGGTTTACCGCAGTAGATCTCGACAGTCTAGTAACAAGAAGCTTCTGTAAGCAAATCCGGCAGCTCATCACTTTTATTTGCCTTGCACACCTCAGTGGTTGTGTTTCAGATGTACTCGTCAAAAGGGATCCCTCACTGTTTACTTGGTGACTGTTTGCTGAAAACAGAATCCAAGCTTTGTAGTAACAGCCGCCGATACCCTGGGACATCGAAGCTTCTAGATGACTTGTTTTGTGCTGAGTAACAAGTCTATGGTCTTGTTCATGCATTAACTACAGTAACACAAGCTTCTTTAAACCAAAAAAAGGACCTGTGCCATTATTAGAAGTTTGTTTGCAGTGTCCAATATCTAGTGGCAAAGACTCCTTTACCCTGTTTGTTAACACTATCGGTTGTTTGCTTTTACCCTGTTTGTTAACACTATCGGTTGTTTGCTTTTTAATTCTGTAAGAATTTTTTCAAGAGGGATACGACAGCTGGCCACTCTCCGTGGCACATCTTAGCACTGCTGTGTCCTGTCAAGTTCAGCTGACATCTGCATTTTGCAGAGTAACCACTTGGAAATCCACCTGGTACAAACTGATAAACTGGAGTAGCCTTGAGAGGGATAGCGAGTGTATATTTCCCTTGCTGCTTATAGTGCCTAAAGCGTGAAGAAACCGATGTATGAGGTGAGCGTGCCTTGCATTTTGCCATGAGTTCTGCAGTATTAATGGAAAACAAATCGCTTACAAGGAGGAATTCTAACACTTGAATTTTTTCTTTCTTACTGGGGACTTCCCCCTAGAGTAGCAGACAGCTGCTGTAAAGGAATTAGGTCTCTTTCCCACAGACAGGTTTTTAATTAAGTCACACTCCACTTTTCTGTCTAGGTAAGACTGCCGAACTTCAGAGCGAAAGACATCCTCAGCTAGCTGACATAAACTATTTTAACTGACTTAAGAGATGTCCCCAACTCAAAACTTTTCTCTGACTAGTCTAAACACTACTTGGGCAGAGCAGGTGAATTCTGTATATGCAGGCTGCTCCGCTGGTGTTGGTTGATGTCTGGGTCGCCTGCAGTTACAGGGGCTTAACTCGCCAGCAGAAGCCCAGCACAGCTGAGCTGCCAGGAGGTGGGATTTAGATCTGCTTTGCAATTGAGATTGTGAGACCTCAGTTGTACTTAAAAAAACCATGACACTAAAACCCCGTGCAGCGTAACTCTTGCGTACGGTCCGGTGTCAGCACGCACCCCACCTCTGCACCGCACGCTCCACGAAGGCACCTAACCAGACGGGAGAGGGCGAGTGCATCCGCGGCTCCTTGCGAGGGAGGTGCTGAGGTCTTTCTGTGAACTTGGCTGTATGCTAGGAGAGTCCGCACCGGAGCGCAGTGCTGCTGGTGAGGAGTATCTAGTTACCACAAGGCTGTAGGCAACTTCTGCACGTGTAGCTTAGTGCAGGGGGCTGTGAGCTGCTGTTGGCACCTGACCCCCAGGAACTACATCTGCTCTGTAAAGAGCCTCTTCTCAGGAGTGGCACTAGAACAGGAAGCAATGCTCAGGCTGGAGGGAAGCTCCAAGCGCTCCAGGTACTGAATGCAGGAGGGAGTCTCCAAGGCCTCCTAGATGAAAGCAAGCCAGAGGGTTTAGTACAGGCCAGTTGCTTTTAATACAACAAGATCCAAGACTCTGGATTCTTTAACGCGTGTGAGCAGCAAATGGTTCTTAGCCCATCTGTCGTGAAACTGTGCCAGGAAAGCCTTCTTTGCAATGGTGGGCTGAATGCTGCTCTGCTCCTGACTGTAACTGTGCTTCATTTTGAACACGGACCTTGCGCATGTTCCAGGTAGAGAGTGTGTTTACTGTGCCTCCCTGGTGTCGCTGCAGTTTGGGGCGGGGGGGGGATATGTGGCCTTATTATGAAAGACATCTGCATTTGAAATAGTGAGGGTAGCGTCTGATGCTAGTGTTAGGCAGATACGCTTTTCCCTGGTTACATTTCGGTAACATATCTTAAGTTCTATGCTTACAGAAAGCTGTATCCATAAAACGGCAGCACTTCCCCGCCTTGTGTGAAAAGCAATTCTTAAATGGGGGGGAGTGTCTTAATTTAATGATACTTAAGTTGCTAAGATCTCGATTTCACTTCCATATTAGGAAAAAAAAAAGTACACTACCGTTATATCAGGCAGTTAAAGTAAATTGTGAATGATGCCCGTGAGTCTCTCCCTAGCATAGTTTACAGTCGTTTGGCACATTTAGAAGAGATGCAGTGATCAGAAACAATGCAAGAATGCAGCGGATGCACAGCCTGAATAAGCACATCACTTTTGAAATCAGCTGAGGGCAACGAACTGGGATAATAGAAATACACAGACTGAACTGTTTTTCCCCAGCACCTAAGCTGGTGTATTACAAAGGACGTCTCCTGGCCTGGTGCACGTAAAGCTCCTCCCGTACGCCAGAGCCCAGTGCACTATTGTCGGGTCAGATCTGCAGCCAATTCAAACAATGGCACTAAGCACTACGACCTTCCCCCACTCATCTCTGTAGCCTGTTACCTCAAAAATCTGATTAGTTACTCCTGACATGCCAGCATTAACCACTTCGCTCCTTGTTCTTGTGCTAGAAATGCTGAGTTTTATGCACTCCAAGTGCCATTGGAGAGGATGGCGGGTAGGGAAGAGTATGTAAAGATTTGAAGATCTGTCTGTATTGTTTTTCAATATTCAAGTAAAATCTGCTTTTAGAAAAGGGGCCGGAATGTTGTCAGGTAAGGGGTGTAACAATCCTGTCTGCAAAGTGCAGGATCACTGAAGGTTTTTTAGGTGTTTTGTTTTTTTTTTTTTTGTTGGGCAGTAAATCATTTTAACAGTTTAATAAATACTTCTGAAAAACAAGTATATCTGCAAGACTTGTGTCCTTTTTTTTTTGTGGAAAGTTAATACCATCTCTTCTTGGGGATGCAGCATACGGGTCTGTCGTCTTTCCCTTGAAAAAAGCTCATACAACTCTTCATGGAAATAAAGCCTCAAACTGGGCAAGGTTTAGGATAGGGCCATTCAAAGGCCAATAAAAAAAATACAGTTTAAAATACATTAGCAAATATTTAGGAATTGCTTATGATGACAAAGAACACAACGGAGCCTTTTCTAGAAAGCACTGTAAGCTCCTCGACGGAAGACGCGTGTGTCTGTATGCACGTCCTGGCTCTGAAAAAGGAGATGCTTTGCCCCCCCGTTTTCCCCGATTCAGCTACAACCAGCAGCAAGCCCAGTTTCCAGAACAAGATTTAAACCCCGTGCAGGCAGGACTTCACTTGCAGAGACGGGGAGAGGACCGAGTGGGTGCAGCTGCAACCACACTGAACTGTGACACCGTCCTTCAGTGATTGTCCATGGATTGATCAGGAACATTAGGCGTTTCCTGACCTGCTTACTGCTCTGTAGCGCGCATTCCTCTAATAAAAGGGAATGACATCCTCCCATGACGTAAAAAAAAGATTTCTTATTACATGCTTCTCTCCCACCTCACAGAATGAGTTAAGGACACAGTATTACTAAAGATCTCACTTGCCCCAGTGTCTTCAAGAAAATTCCCACTTAGGCCACATTTTTCAGCTTAGTTTCTTGCTATTCCGTTACTCTTTCTTCAACAAGTGACTATTTCATAAAGGGCATCTGTCTCACTAAATGAGTGTGGACATCTGGCACATAAAGAATTAAATACGGAGCTCTCCCATGAACCCTAATCCAGGCAGCCAGATGGGTATCAAACGAGATGTGTACTCAGTTTCAGTGGCATGCCCGTACGTGCGGTGCATTTCTTACAGCACTCACCAGTTCAAAAATATTAATACAAAAAGTTTATTTTCTCTGAAGGACAATTCAACGTGTTATCTTAACTGTATTAGCAACTGAACTACAGAGAGCTTCCAGCAGGTGAGAGTCACAGGCACAAGACAGTAACAGCACAGCTCCTTGTTCAGGGAACGCTGCTCACAGCCCCAAGCTGAAGGCAACATCCGCAACTGAAACGTTGTGGATGTAAGAGCAGACATCACACCCCAACGACAAGGCACTGTCACCTACCGATGCTTATCATC